AAATATTGGTCTTTCCATTCCAGGTACGTCCGGTCCATACCATCAACCCGCGCCTTGGCGACTGTGGTGAAGATGATGTCCTAGACCGTGGCGACGTTGTCGGAGCTGCTCGATGTTGGAGGTCATCCAGATCGAGAGTACTGGTCTCCAGGTAGCTATCCATGGGTGACTCCATACTAGAAGTTTCGCAGCTGTTTGGAGGTGACATGAATTCCAAAGGTCTTCTCCAGTCAGGCTGCGACTGGAGATGACTTCATATTTTGGTGTACATGAAGGTGATGGGCGAGAGCCAGCTCCTGCTTATCGAGGAACATCTTGGGTATCTTCCGCCCTGGTACTCGTATCCACGTCTTCTCTCTGGGCTGCGAAAACTTTGCTGATATGTCGGTCGAAGTGACTTTTTTTGGCCCCCCCCTGTATACATATGTAGCAGTGCTAGAGCGCCGATGCCGTGACTAGGAAGGACTTCTCCACGGTGGTTCCTTCTTTCCCAAATGTGCGGCAAGGTAGCGCAGAGAAGCTTAAAATTGTGTGGCCGTGTCTCGCCCTTTGCCTCCTTCCATCTTCCCTCTCTACCATATTAACACCATTGAAAGAAGTCAAGAATCAAGCTCTGATAACAGACTTTGGGACGTGCCATGCGTCCGGATTTCAAGAAATCACCAAGGCATTTGAATGCAGTCTTTATTTGAATTTCACACATTGCTTCTCTAGGTGTTCAATAAAACTCAGTTGTCTCTACCCACCAACAACATCGCACCTTCCACCGGAAATCGTTTGCTCCACAGAGCGAAATCCGAAACGTAGACAGGAAAGCGACATATGGTTGGTTGATGCTTTTTGGTATGTGTATGGCTACCTTGCAGTACTGTATGCTGGTTATTGTGCAGGATGTTTGGCGTTCTTTGCTGGGAAAGTGTGACGTTAGGAGCGGAACCACATTATCAAAAGACTCCTGAAGAAATCCAGAGGTAGTTGTGTAGAATATTTAGCTTTTATACTGCTCTTTGATATTACCTTGTATGCTTGGTCCCTCATAATGGCCCTACCAAATGAGATTTGTTTTTATTTTACTTCAAGATTTCCCGGTAACCTTCTTACCGGAGACGCACAAACACTGGGCATTATTAGTATCCCCTCTCATCCTTCTTGTCGGAACGAGGGGAGCGCTAATGAAGAAGTATGTACAATAGTTGTGAGTGGCTGCCCGCTCCTCTATCAAACTAATTATCGCGGAATGTGCCTTCAAAGGGTGGGCCTTATATGGGGACTCAGTCGCACTGCTACGCACAGGACTTCTCGTACGATAGGGAATCCCCGACAAACGGGTCGTATCCGGCTTAGAGGGATTTTTCGTCTGTTTCTTTTTGCCATTTCAGACTGCGCCTTGAAACTTATACCTACTGTCCCACTCTATACCTATTGCCCTACTCCCTAATGAACATTGTCCATAAGTTATCCCATTTATGTACTTGTATTGCGTTTTACTCATCACTCCTATCAATTCTCGGTTTTACTTGAACAATTCAGATGTTTCCGGCTGCCTGACCGTGGACTCACCTGTCCACAAGGTTGCCCGTTGGACGTGTGAGTTTGAGTTCCTTGTTCATGACTGAAACTTGAATACCATTCATTTTTATCTGTTTTACTGATGCCTATTTAATGATGAGTTAGAGTTGAATTACTTGTCACTTGATGCCATACTGTTAGGTCGCACAAAATCATGAAAGATACGCATTTAGTTGGTCGCTAGCGATGGAATGCCTTTCGGAAGCACATCGCCGGCCACGTTTTACTGGCGCCTCGCCCACATTGGTCGATCGTGTCCAACAACTACGAAACTATTACCTTCAATCCATGGACTGTCTCTATCCAGTGCCAAATATAGGCAATTGTACGTGTGCTGAACACAAATGTAAGAAAGTGGAGAGTTTTGACAGAGAATGAATGCATAGTCTTTAACATGGTGACTCTGTTCGAGGTCTAATTGCTTGTAGATATCATTCTTAAATCGGTGGTTTAAAGGGGTGCCTAGGCAACGTGTGCGTATCCCTGTGCCCACTCTCCATTCTCATAGGTGCTTCTGCCTATCTTGTTTGGTCCCCTCCCTATAGCCCCCCC